ATTTTAAGGAAGAAAGAAATGGAAAGAAATGAGGTCAGGAGAGAGGATGTCAGTTTTTTTTCCCACTTAAGGTGAGAAAAATAACAAAGTGTTTATAGTTTGATATGAAAGACAGTGTAAGAAAAAGTGGAGAGAAAGGTCGGAGTCCAGTGAATCACTAGAGGAGTTAATCTGAGGAGCACAGGCAGTTCATTCATCCTAACAGACTAGCAGGTCAAGTCAGAATACAGGGCACAGTCCACGTGGTGGGTGCTCAAGGCTTAAAACCAAATTCTTTTGAAATTGCTTAGACTGAGGCTAAAAGGAGCATCCGTGGTGTAGTCTGTTTGGCCTGTCATGCCACCTTTTAGGAAAATGGCCCAGCTGCCTGGGGTCTGGTTGTTGAGGACATGGGTATGAGTGGTGCTTTGATACCCTCTCTGGCTGAATGGGAACCTGAGGAGCCCAATTGCCCTAAGTCACCATGCTCCTGGGGGTACTGCAATTCACGTTGTGGTAAACACCTCCTTCTCTGTCTCCTTGCTCATCCCACTCCCATCAGACAGCTTGGTTGAGAGGGCTTTCTCAGGGGTCTGTGTTAGCATGCACTCAAGGGAAAGTGAATTATTGAACTTCCTATCACTCTGTATAAAACCTTTCCCATAATGGATACTCAATACATGTTGTTGCATCCTGTGTGTTCTTCAAGTACATTCACCTGGTGTTTGCTATTGGGAATAAGGAATAATAAAGAATATACTCACTATTGTCAGTAGAGCTAATTAGAACTGCAGAGAGAACAAAAGAAATGCAAAGTGAAGGTAAGAGGAGTGGAAAAGGAGATTTAAATTCTGAGAGGAAGAATGAAATAAGACTTCAGGGAGGAGTTGGTTGTAGTGAAGCCTTATTTTTGTTTAAAAGAACTATGTAAGAAAGTAAAATTCTAAAGCAGTTCTATTTCACTTTAATTTTTATCTGATCTACGCAGTTTTCTTTCATTTATAAAATATTTAAGGGCAAAGTCATATGGTATTATTCTATTTTATTTTTCATTTGGTATTATTTTAGTTGCACTAAAATTATTTTAATTTTAATTGATCAATGAGAAGGCATTTGAACAATGTATTTGAATGTCATTTTAAAACTCAATTAACATTGTTGTCATAATACTGTCTTTTTTTTTTTACTTATTGGAGTCTAGTGGTCCTAATTTTTAATGCTTAATGTAGGTAATTTCCAAATAAATAATGGAATTTGCTCCTTTATTCAGGAAGTCTTTTTCCTTCCGTTTGCCTTATTTTATAAGTATAAATATATATTATGTAATTATATGTATGATAAGTGTTCGTGAAGGGGAATGAGAAATAGGAAAGAATAATGGTTAATATGGCTTATGAAAATCTTAAGTGACTGCATATTCTCTGAATGGTGCTAACCCTTTGAGAACATTGAGAGTTACAACAAGAAGCAGAAGAGAGGTCTGACAGAGCGTACGCCCCTTAGGTCAGTTATTCCAGACCTAGAGAACTGGCGGTAGCAACTCACAACATGCCACAAACTTCTGACAATCAGCTCTTTCAAAACAACTGACATGTGATTCCATGGGTAATGATTAGGTTCCCTTTTTAAAATATATATATTTTTATTAATTTCAGAGAGGAAGGGAGAGGAAGAGATAGAAACATCAATGATGAGAGAGAATCATTGTGACTGCCTCCTGCATGCCTCCTACTGGGGATCAAGCCACAACCCAAGCATGTGCCCTGGCAGGGAATTGAACCATGACCTCCTGGTTTATAGGTTGATGCTCAACTGCAAAGATGGGCCTTTTTTTTTCCTAAATAAAAGGGTATAAGTGTATCTATATATGTAAATGCCTAAGTGACCAGTCACTATGATGCGCACTGACTACCAGGAGGAAGCGCTCAATGCAGGAGCTGCTCCCTGGTGGTCAGTGGGCTCCCACAGGGGGAGCGCCTCTCAGCTGACCACGGCATGTGCCAGACGCCTGGCTGGTGAGCGCTGCTGCAGCGCATGAGCCTCTCCTGATCGGGACTGACTGGGCGCGAGCCCCCTGCAGGTGCAGCGGGGCCGGGATGAGCGGAAGCGGTGCAGCCGCCTGCAGCAGCCCGATCCCTACAGGCCACACCGAGGGAACCACAGGTGCACGGATTTGTGCACCAGGCCTCTAGTATTTAATAAAATATATATAGGAGAATTGCATCTCAGGTTTGTGGTTACAACTAATGAGACCTGTAGCAGGTTGTCCTTAGTTCTGCTTGCCTTATATAAGTAAATGACACTTTAGATAAACCCAGGAAAACCAGGTGCTTCTATAAACAGTAGCATAGACTAGTTTTGGAAGAATCATTGACAGCATACTACTAAAGCTTAAGCAATACCATTCTTTACAGAGAAAAGTCAAGGCCAAAGGGTTTTTCTTAAATTACATTTTCTGAGAGGTAAAGTAACCTTTAGGTTTTTGGCAAATTGAGCTTGAAAATAATTCCTTACCTCTAAGGAATGGTTAGTGTTTCTTAGAGATAGGTTCCTTTATGGTTAAAGCTGCTGGGAAAATGCTGAAATGCTTCCCTGGTAGTTAATAGCTATTCCCTGAGCTGGTCCCGTGTCCCTCCTGCTGTTCTGTCACCCTCCTTTGCTCTCAACCAGGACCCCACACGTCTCCCTCAGTTCTTGCAAAGACCCGTCCTCTGGGGGGGTCTTCAGCTCTCTGCATCACAGGGATTCTGATATCTTACCCTGTGCTGAGCTAATTTTTAATTATTTTGAATATAATCCTTTTGTATAGTCTTTCTGAATGGTTTCTTTAGGAATTGTTAAGTGCTATTAATATTTTTATACAATCTTTGAGGCAGATGCTTAATAGTCAAAATAAGAGCACATTTTCCACTGTCATTAATTTTTTAAAACAATCTTTGAGGTAAATGATTGCTACTGATATGATTTAGTTACTTAGAAAGTAACTAATGGTAGCATGTTGGTCTTTATTTTATGTCTTTGTGGCTAGGTGAAACTTTCAGTGAACTTTTAGGAAATTATACTTTGAGGTTTTGATAAGAGAAAAAATGAGAGAAATCTTACTCTGAGGCTTCCGATGACCTGAAAAATTAAATGCGTGTTCTTGTTTATTAGGGTCTGAAAACCCTGTATTCAAATAAGAACACAAGAAAAAAAGATAATAAAGGCTTTTCCCATGGGAAACAGATTTGATACATGCCATTACTCTTCACACACAGAACTTACCTGCTCACCGTACTTCCCTGGACCTGCACCTTCTCAGGCTGGGATATGTGCCCTGTTCTGCCCCTGTATCAGCATGGACTGGTTTATCAACATGTATCCCGTTGTGTTGTAGCTACCTAGTTGTTCCGGACCCTCATTCCTCTATGTATTTCTCCAGTGTCCAGTGCTGGGCACTCAGGAAATCATCCTTGAACGAGAGGGAGAGGGGGAAAGCGGGGAGAGAGAGAACTAAAAAAGCAACAAGTTCCAGCAAACAGTTCAGTGTGGCTACAAGCAGCAGTCTCCTCCAGGGTGTGAGGAAGTCTCCTCTGGCCGGGAACCTCGGAGCACGTGCCTCCCCTGGGAGCAGGACTGGGAACCGGAGGGCAGTAGAGGCTGTGATGAGGTAGTGGGTTCGGAGCAGCATGGGGCCCCTCACCTGTGGCTGTGTGCTGTCACGGCCTCCACTACCACTCTCTCCTTTTCCGTGGTAGGTGCCTTAACCCTGGCTCTCACAATGTAAACGGGTGTTCTTGAACAAAAGGCTTCTTTCATCCTTTACCTTTGGGAAATGTCAGTGCAGCAGTCAGCTCTCAGAGATCCGGTCTGCATTGCCACTTATTCAAAACTCTGAAAAAGTCTTAAAAGAATCTAGCTCAGTTTGGGTGACCCAACGTTTCCCAAGTTTTGTCTGAACACAGACCACTTTTATTTCAAGAAAGACCTACTTTCATCTCAACAGATAGAAAACTGCACAAAAATTTGAGCACCAAAACTGACTGAATCCTGGCACTATTATTTGGGTAATTTTAGGCAAGTTATGTAACTTTATTCTTTCTGTGTCTCAGTTTCTTTTTTAAAAAAGTCATTATTAAAAATATATTATTTTATTTTCTTTTTTCCCATCATCATTTATCACCCCTTTCCCCCTCCACCACATTCACCACACTGTTCAAGTTTCAGAATTCTTTTCTTTTTTTCTCAATCCCTCCCTGCTAGCTCTCTCCCCAGAGGTGTCTACCTGCTCTCTATCAATGAGTTTGTCTCTATTTTGCTTGTTAGTTCAGTTTGTTCATTAGATTCCACATAGGAGTGAAATCATATGGTACTTGTCCTTTTCTAACTGGCTTATTTTTCTTAGCATAATGTTCTCCAGGTCCATCCATGCTGTTGCAAAGGATAAACTTTTCTTCTTTTTTATGGCTGAGTAGTATTCCCTTGTGTAAATACACCACAGCTGTTTTATCCACTCATCCACTGATGGTCACTTTGATTGTTTCTAAATCTTGGCTATTGTATACAACCCTGAAATGAACATAGGGGTGTTGTTTTGTTGTTGTTGTTGTGTGTGTATGTAAATAAATTCCCAGAAGTGGAATTGCTGGGTCACAAGGCAGTTCCATGTTTAATTTTTTGAGATAACACCATACTGCTTTCCACAGTGGCTGCACCAGTCTGCATTCTTCATTTTAAAAAAAGGCATAATAGTGCCTTCCCACGGGAATATTGTGAGTATTAAATGAAATGCCAAATATATTACACCCAACATTTAGCAAATACTCAACAAACATGAATTGCCATTTCCTCAGATCCCTCACATCCCGTCTTTATTATCTCATCCCCCTTTAAGCTAGCTTTGCAGGATTTTTTTTGACAGGAATTTAATGGAGAAAAGAGTTTTTATCAAAGTTTTATAAAAGCTTTTATTAAAAAAAAGCCACCCAGTCACTGTCTTTCTGCTTCTCTGTCTGGCACAGGTGGGAAACGACTCTTGGAGGCCTGATATTTTCTAACCAGTACCTACAATTGATGACCTCTGTCCCATCAACTTCCATCTACGGATTTGGTGAACATGAACATCCGTCCTTTAAGCATGACATGAATTATGTTCGATATGGAATGTTTGCCAGAGATCAGTCACCAGTGGTAATGTGTGGCTATAGATTCTTAATATTAGAAATCTGACTTATGGAAAGGGAAAAAGAGAATGAATGCTAAGAATGATTTTCTATAAGGTCCTATAAACCTACTCTCAGAAATAATTTGGGTTTATACTTAATTGGTGATAATGGCAAGTTTGAAATTGACATCCACTCAGGTTTTCACCAGTTTGACTTTTACCCTCACTAAATATATGACACTTTTGTTTTCTTTTTTTCTTTTTTTTTTTTTTGACATGTCAGTAATTGCTACTGGATCTCATTGAGATAGGAAAATTAAATTGTAATTCATGAAAAACCATATTTCTGTTTGTGTTGCAGGCACTTAGCAATCTCTATGGAGTTCATCCTTTTTATATGTGCATTGAGAAAGACTTTAATGCTCATGGTGTCCTCCTCTTGAATTCCAATGCCCAAGGTAATGTGGTCGTCTGGTTAAATCATAAAGAAGCCAGTGCACAACTTAAATGCTGCTTTTTCCCTTTTCTCCCCTTAAAAAATGCTTATTAATTAAAATAACATAGAGTGAGAGATTGTCTATAATTTAATATTTTGTTTCAAAATGGAAAGGTTTTAGTGAACCACATACAGTCATCCTAATAGATTGCAGAATTCTATTAAGACACAGTACTATAGAAATCAGAAGTCCTTCAACAAGCAATGTTAGAAATTTCAGTGTCTAATATTAGATAGACAACCTAAGTAGCATCTAAATGGCAGAAATATTAAAATAGTGATCTCTGCCATTTATATTATTTGTACTTATTCTCTATTTTGCTTTGTTCTTTCCAGATGTCACTCTGAGCCCATCTCCTTCTTTAACATTCAGGACCATTGGAGGAATCCTTGATTTCTATATGTTTCTTGGCCCCACTCCTGAAAATGTTATCCAGCAGTACACAGAGGTGAGTACAGCACAGCAATTCATATTCAAATTTTCTTTGTCCTGGCTGTGAGGGAAGGGGGAGCAATTAGCAACTAGTCTTTAGTCTTCCAATCTCCTAGCTGTTTCCACATTTAGGTAAAGGCTTCTGACTTGGTTACCATTTCATCTCAGCTCCATTACTTCTGATCCATCATACCCTACGCCACTTCACTCTCTCCCAAAGAGTTCATCAGCCAGCCACTTGATTCTCTGGGATCCAATAGAACTGGGTGTTGAGGAGTCAATGTTTGGAGGAAAACCTCCTGATGGGACAGAACTCCTGGGGAATGTGCAGTAGTGACCTTGGTTTATCATCCATACTCAACCTTTCTTTTTGCCATCCTTCTAGTTCAGAGGTGGGGATCCTTTTTTGCCGTGGGCCATTTGGATATTTATAACATCATTCATGAACCATGCAAGAGTATCAACTTAAAAATCTGCCTGCTATATTTGGTGAAACATTTAATGCCTTGGCAGGGCCAGACAAATTATATACGGTCTGTGGGCTGGACATTCCCCGCCCTTGTTCTACATCTTTCCTTTCTAGATCTAGGTGGAGATACTCCACCTCTGTCCCCTGGCCCTACATCTACCAGCCATTTGGTACACAAATGTAGCCAAGGTACAATGCCAATTGGTTGCTCATCCCCCATCACACATCATTCCTCAAATGATCTCCCCAGGGTGAGCTACTCAAATACTACCAAAATCCACAGGGATGTCTGCAGTTTCTAACAGGAAACTTGCTAACCCTGAAAAACTATCTAACAAAATAATTGTAGGTGTTAGAGTAGGTGGATGGGAAAGGCAGGGTGAATGTGTTTTGGTCCAGGGGAGGGTCTTAGCAGAGCCATTTAAATACTAATTACTAGAATGCCTTTTGTTATGGCTGTCACTGCATCTGATAAGCAGGACATTCAAAATGCAAAGACAAGGCCTTTGTTGGACAATCATGGGAAGAGAAAGGGGACCTGTCCCATCAGATTTTCTCCCTTCTCCTGGAGATCAGAAAGTGCCTGAGGGGGGTTCCTGGGCCCAGCTGGAAATAGGCTTGCACCAAATTTTGTGGTTTCAAGGGATTCCATAAAGATGCATCAGTTCTCTTTTCCAAAGTCTACAGAAGCTTCATCAAGGGGTTTAGAAAAGATGGGATTGAGAATGGAGACAAGAGGGGGGTTGAGGAGAGAGCTGCTTAAAGCTGAAAGTGACGCCATCCTCCTTTTCTTGTTGCTTGCTTATTTCTGTCCTCCTTTGTCCCAGGGGACACCTACAGCAGGGGTCCCCTCGGCCTAGAACAGCTTTGGTTTGATTCTCAAAGCCTTTCAAATCACTAGCAAAGGATGTGACAAAAATGAAGCTTGGGAGTTTGACTGACCGGGAGTCAATCGCTCACTATGTTGTGAACTGACTACCAGGGGGCGGCATGGAATGAAAGAAGGCCCCGGCCAGCAGCCAGCAGCCACTAGGGACCCTACCCGAGCACAGATTTTGTTCACTGGGCCTCTAGTTGTTGATAATATAAACCTCCCTTAGCCCACTTAGTACTCTAGGAGAGTTATATACATCTGCATAGCTTAGATTTCTAGTAAGAACACTCCTACAGAGGGCCAGGGTCTGAATCCTGTCTACTTTGATGTGCTACAAAAGTTAATCCCATTTACCTTGTCTCCTGAGCAATCTCTCCCTTCTTTGAAGAACCGGCCCAAACTGACAGCTTAAAAGAAATAAACTTTTCTCTTTCATCTTAATATATACACCCGAGCACAGATTTTGTTCACTGGGCCTCTAGTTGTTGATAATATAAACCTCCCTTAGCCCACTTAGTACTCTAGGAGAGTTATATACATCTGCATAGCTTAGATTTCTAGTAAGAACACTCCTACAGAGGGCCAGGGTTTGAATCCTGTCTACTTTGATGTGCTGTGTGATCTTGGGCAACTCCTTAACCTTCCTGTGCCTCTCACTTCCTGCATCTGTAACATAACATCTGTAACGTAGGGATCATTGTAGTATCTACCTCATATGATTGCTGTAAGAATCAAATGTGATAATAAACATAAGATGCATTTAATCACCCATGAAGCTCCAAAAAATTCCATATCACGGACACTTATTTTGTTAGATTTCTCTGAAGCTGCTGATTGCTGTCTTTGAAATCCACTTGCTAAGCTTTTGAAACAGTATTTTCTGGTTTACCTATCCCTCTCTAGCTTCTTTTTCTTAATCTCCTGATAAATGTTTTATTCACTCAATCAGTGTCAGTATTCCTCAGCGTTCTGCATTCTTCAAGAGCAGCTTTTCAGCAATGGCATCGCCTACTATGCATGCACTGATGAGTCACACGCTCTATCTCCAGTCCAAAGCTTTTTCATGAACTCCAGCATATTTATTTTGGCCTATTGAAAATGTTTACTTCACATTCCACAACCATCACAACGTATTCTATACAGAATTAATAATCTCTTTCTAAACTTCTTACTTCAACTAGATCTTCCCGTTACCATTTTCTGAGTTAACAGAATTACCGAGAACCCAGTCATCCAAGCAAGAAACTGAAAAACTATCTTCTTCTCGCTCCTTCATTGCCTGACAGCCCATGAATTGATTCTGTCCTTTTATTTTGTCTCTGGCGCTCTTGCCTTAATGAGCTTTCATCTTTCTCCTTGGAAGGTTATACTTACTAGAGAACTGGTTTTCTTACTTCCTGTTTGGTTTTCCTACAAACCATTCTTCATTCATACTTTTGTCAGAAGGATACTTCTAAAAGGTTAACCCTATCTTTCACTCCTCTGTTAAACATCTAACCATTATCTAAAGCAGTGGTTCTCAACCTTCCTAATGCCATGACCCTTTAATACAGTTCCTCAGCTTGTGGTGACCGCCAATTTCACTGTTACAAATTGAACATAATCAAAGCATAGTGAATAGTCACAAAAACAATATGTAATTATATATGTGTTTTTCGATGGTCTTAGGCAACCCCTGTGAAAGAGTCGTTTGACCCCCCAAAGGGGTCGTGACCCACAGGTTGAGAACCGCTGATCTAAAGCGTCATTGGCAACTTAAAAATATATGTATTGCAAAACACATATGTAATTTTAAAAATCTAAAGGATAAAACATCTAAATTAATTTGCATGGCATATGCAGGCTTTTAATTAACTGCTTCCATTCTGTATCTACACCATCATCTCCCATCAACTTCTTTTCAAAGTCTGTACTACAGCCCTACTGAAAATGTTCAAGGTCTGCTCTGTTCTTAGCATACATGCTTTCCCTTTGCTTGGAAAAATGCCCATCTCATCACCTTGGTGATCGGCTTGCTCTTTGCACCACGTTTTCTGTGAAATCTTTCTCCTACTGTTGATGATCTACACTCCCACTCTACATGCATCCTTCCTAGTTCACACACAGTATGAATGGAAGCTTTGTTATCTAGAGACTTCTAGTCCTGCCTTTCCAACCAGTCCTGGTCCTCTCTCCAAACCTATGAAATCAGGTTTTATGGAATTTATCCTTGGCTGGCATAATGAAGAGCCCTGTTTGAATCAGTTTTTTATTTTCTTAATTTTAACCCATGTTCCGAGAAATTTATTTTTATTGCTTTGGGTATAATTTACAAATCTACTTTTTTCTAACAAACATTCAAAGCCACATGAAATTAAATTATTGGTAGTTATTTATATTATTTTTATAATGCTAACCCCCCAACGAAATTAATCTTAAGGAAAGGAGACTATGTACAATTTCAGTTAATTAACTTACTAATTAATTTACATTCTTTAATTAGTTTTTCTTTATTCTTTAGCCATAACACAAATGACTTAACAACTTTCTAGCATGCTGGGACACTAAAAAAAATCTTTATTTACATAGTTAGAAAAAACATCTACATTTCCAAATAAGCATGCCTTTGTGACTATTCTGGATTGTTTAAAATGAGGTCAATGAATGTATTTCTGAATAAGTTTATTTTCAATTACACATTACTATGGAAATTTGTTCTCCATGTAAAAGTGTCAAATGATGCAGAAGTATACCCCAAATCCTCCTGCCTGTAGCTGTAACAACCACTTTTAATAGTTTTCCGAATATTCCTCTAGAAATTTGCTATGAATTTATACACATATATTTATATTTTCCACTCATGTATGAGTAGAATAATGCTAGAACTATTTATTTTTGTGAGGTGGCCTTTTAATTTACCTCTGTGTTAGAGATCTTTCCATATGAGTACTTAATAAAATCTATATAATCTTTTTAGGACATAATTTTTTTAGAGCAGTTTTAGGTCCATAACAAAATTGGGAGGAAGTTACAGAGATTTCCCATACCTCCTACCTCCCCACATGCATAGCCTCCCCCATCATAAACATCACTCACTAAAATGGCACGTTTGTTACCAAGGATGAGCCTACATTGGCACAACATAATCACTGATGCCCATAGTTTACCTTAGGATTCACTCTTGGTGTTGTACATCCTATGGGTTTGGACAAATGCATATTGATATATATACTTATTATTATAATATTATACAGAGTATTTTCGTTGCCCTGAAAATCTTCTCTTGTCTGCCTGTTTATTCCCATCCTCCATCAGCAGTCATGTCTCCATAGTTTTTCCTTTTTCAGAATGTCATATAGTTAGATACAGTATGTATGTACTAGCCTTTTCAGATTGGCCCCTTTCGTTTGGTGATGTACATTTGAGATGTCTCCATGCCTTTTTGTAGCTTAATAACTTATTTATTTTTAGCACTGAATAATCTTCTACTTTCTGGATGTACCAAAGCTTATTATTCATCTACTGGACACATTGGTTGTTCCAAATGTTGGCAATTGTGAATTAAGTCACTATAAATATCTCTATGCAGGTTTTTGTGTGGACATAAATTATAACCTCTTTTGGGTAAATACTAGGAAGCACAACTGCTGGATCATATGGGAAGAGAATATTCAGTTTAGTAAGAAATTGCCAC